GAGCTCTGTGAAGTTAAATCAGCTGGGTGCACCACGCCTCTCAAAAAGTCTTGCCGAAGGGCTGGAACCTGAATCTGATCACACTTCAGGATCCAGCAGCCAATTTGCACAAAGGACGGAGAGTATGCTGAACTGTACCATAAGGGTACAATCAGTGAAATCACACTGTTGAAAGATACAGGTCAAAGGTCAGGCTTCTTCAACAGATATCAATACACTGATAAGGACAAGAAAAGGAGGGAGGAAGATTGTGAAAGACTTAAAAGACATACCAAGTTTTTAAAACTCGCAAGACTAAGCTAGAGTGTCTAGAGATGCACAATTGAGTGATTAAAACCATAAAGAAAGGCAAGGACTTGGGTCCTGGACTGTTTCTTCCTGGGGAGAAGAGGAGGCCTGGCCAACCACACTTGGGCAGAACAAGCAAAAACATGAACCTCAGGAACCGGTAACAGAGCCTGGAATGTGCACATTGATGGCAGGACCCCAAGTAGCTTGTCTGGGACCATGAGGCAGCCTTGAAGGTGGCAGCCAGCACTACAGTGGTAATAGTGAAAGGTACTAAACTGAGTAAAACAGGATGAGTGAGGCCTAAGTCTCTCTCTTAGACTCTAGAACAAAACAAAGTTCCTTGGCTCATAGAGTTGCTTTCTAAAGAGAAACATGGACAATAAGCAAACCAGGAAATAAATACATAATATAAAAGATACCATGAATAAAAATGAGTTAGGCTACGGTGGACGGAGAGTAAATGGGGTATCTTTTTATGTTGGGTGGTCAGAGGAAGTCTCTCTGATGATATAGCCAAATGGCTACGAATCTCAAATTGTATGTCAGTGGGCATTTATCTCAGAGAAATGAAAACTCGTATCTACATAAAAATATGCATAAAGCATTATTTAGAGTAGCCGAACCAGGAAACAACCCAAATGGCCTTCAGCAGTGAACACTTAGACTGTGGCACGTCCATGCCATGGAATACTTCTCAGCAATAAAAAGGAATGAACCACTGAACTGAAACACACAGCAGCTTGGATGGCTCTGGAGGGAACCCTGCTAAGTGGAAAAAGTCAATCTCAAAATGTTACATTGTGTACGATTCTACTCCTAACATTCTTTTTTTTATTTTTTTATTTTTTAAAATATATTTTATTGATTATGCCATTACAGTTGTCCCATTCCCCCCACCCTGCACACCCCTCCCCCACCATTCCCCCCTTTAGTTTATGACCATGTGTCTCAAGTCCTTTAGATTCTGTATTTCCCCTACTATTCTTGCCTCCCCCCTATCTGTTTTCTACCTACCATCTATGCTACTTATTCTCTGTACCTTCTCCCCCCTTCTCCTCCTCCCACTCCCCTGTTGCTAACCCTCCATGTGATCTTCATTTCTATGTTTCTGCTCCTGATCTAGCTGCTCTCTTAGTTTGCTTTTGTTTTAGGTGTGGTTCTTAGTAACTGTGAGTTTGCTGTCCTTTCACTGTTCAATCTTTTTTATCTTCTTTTTCTTAGGTAAGTCCCTTTAACATTTCATATAATAAGGGCTCGGTAGTGATGAACTTCTTGAATTTGTTCTTATCTGAGAAGCACTTTATCTGCCCTTCCAATTCTAAATGAAAGTTTTGCTGGATAGAGCAATCTTGGATGTAGGTGTTTGGATTTCATGACCTGGAATACTTCTTTCCAGCCCCTTCTTGCCTGTAAGGTCTCTTGAGAAATCCTCTGACAGTCTGATGGGCACTCCTTTGTAGGTGACTGTCCCCTTATCTCTTGCTGCTTCTAGGATTCTCTCTTTCATTTTAATCTTGGCTGATGTAATGATGATGTGCCTTGGTGTGTTCCTTCTTGGGTTCAACTTCTTTGGGACTCTCTGAGCTTCCTGGATTTCCTGGAAGTCTATTTCCTTTGCCAGATTGGGGGAGTTCTCCTTTATTATTTGTTCAAATAAGTTTTCCACTGGTGGCTGTTCCTCTTCCCCTTCTGGTACCCCTATAATTTGGATGTTGGAACGTTTAAAGATGTCCTGGAGGTTCCTAAGCCTCTCCTCATTTTTTTGAATTCTTGTTTTTTCATCCTTTTCTGTTTGGCCATTTTTTTCCTCCTTCTGGTCCACTCCTTTGATTTGAGTCCCAGTTTTCTTTCCATTACTATTGGTTTCCTGTGCATTTCCCTTCATTTCAATTAGTTTAGCCTTCATATGTTCCTCTAATTTGTGACTAAAATCAAGCAGTTCTGTGAGCATCCTGATCACCAGTGTTTTGAACTGTGCATCTGAAAGTTGGCTATTTCTTGGTCACTTAGATTTATTGGCTCTGGGGCTTTGAGCTCTTTTTCTGCTTGAGCCATAATGTTTTGGTCAGGTTGCACCTGTTAAGTATGAGGAGCAGAGCCTTAGGTGTTCACCCAGGCAGGGCCACCCAGGTCACTGGTTTGTGACGCTGTATGTGGGGGCGGGGTCAGAGAGGGACAATGGCGGGTCCCTCTGCCACTTCCTGCCGCTGGGGCCTGCGTGTTCCGTCTCACTGCATGCTCCCTCACTGGTTTATCTGCGCGAGAATGTGTGACCGCGATCAGCCCTCAGTGGGTCGGCCCGCTTCTCCACACCTGGGATCCGCCCACGGCTGCTGGCGCACCTGGTCACGTGCCCCGGTCAGTCCGGTGGATCTTTCCTGCCCGACCTGGCTCTGCTGCTGGCTCTGGCCCTCTTACCAGTTTGGCTGAAGGGTTCGTTGTTGTCAGACTTCCGTGTAGTTCAATTTCCTGTGGTTTGGCTGCGTTTTTGTTGCTAAAACTTTGTTGTTTTTAAACTTGGTTGTGCAAGAAGGTGCAGTGCTTCCACCTATGCCTCCATCTCGGCGGAAGTCTCTACTCCTAACATTCTTGAAATGACAACATTATACAGATAAATAACAGACCAGTGGTTGTCATGGTATAAGAAGCAAAGGGCAAAGGAGGTGACTATACAAGGATGGCATCAGGGATCACCCTTGTGATGGAACTGTATCTTGGCTGTGGTATTGGTCAAATGTGATATCTACACATATGATAAAATCACAAAGAACTAAATACACACACATGAGAGTGCACACAAAAATGAGTGAAGTCTGAATAGGGTGAGTGGGTTACATCAATGTCCATTTCCTGCTTCTGATATTACACTGTAGTTATGCAAGATGTTACCACTGGAGGAAACTGGGTGAAGAGGGTGCTGGGTGTCTAATATTTCTTACACCTATATGTGAACCTATAATAATTCCAAAATAAAAAGTTAAAAAACATTTTTTTTCTGCAAAAGAAAAAAGGAAAAGCAAGGCAGTACTAGAAAAGTTGGGATAGTCATTACCTTTCGGGAGGGAAGGGGCTATGATTGGGATGGGATGCATGGTTAAGAAAGACTTTTTCTTTTTAATTTTTAAAAGGATTTTATTTACTTATTTTTAGAGAGGAGGTACGGAGGGAGAAAGACAGAGAGAGAAACATTGATGTGTGAGACATACATTGATCAGCCTGCAACCCAAGCATGTGCCCTGACTGGGAATCAAACTGGCGACCTTTTGGTTTGCAGGACGGCACTCAATCCATTGAGCCACACCAGCCAGGGTGAAAGTTTTTTTTCTTGACTGGCATGGTGGATCCAGAGTATTCACTCCGTAATAATAAATCACTATCTCAATTCACTAAACTTTAGTGTTTTTTATAATACGAGTTCTTGGGGTTTTTTAAAAAGGGGCAACATGACCAATAATGCTAGCGACAGAGATGGACCAAACCTGCTTCTTCAAGAGAGAGTAAGACTCTCGGTGCAAGATTTTGGCATTAGGTCAAAATGCTGTTCCTTTTCCTCAGCAAAATGTGTCTGTGACCATTAAAATGGTCAATTTAGCAAGGCACATTAAACAGAACAATTCCTTTTAACAGCAGCGTATTTCTTTCATATGCTCTGAATGCCAAAATTATGAGATCACAGGAGGAGCTATCCTCAGCCAAAAAGTCCATGAGGAAGAATGAGTAAATGTTTAAATGACACAATTCAGGGATTAACTTGTGCTTATGCACAATAATTTTTATTAATAAAGGCTTCCAAACAATGTTTCTTAGCCTGGTTCAGTCCACAGAAAGTGAAGAGGGAAATAAAAGGAGAGGGGTCCTCCCAGCTCCCCACCTGATGTGCGTGGGACTGCCTGCAACTTGATACCGGGACCACCTGTACCTAATTCCCTACCAATTTCAGTAACTCCCCACCCGTGCCGTGCCTCACCTTTCAACATATTTTGAGCTACGATTAAAAACTGATAAAATCAATAATTACATTTTAAGGCTAAGAAGAACATAATCCAGAACCAGAAGCTGTACATTAAAAAGCACCCCAAAGCCTGGTTTCATATGTAACCTACTTTTGGAATCCAAATGAGGGAATATAAAGAACCGACTCTCAAAATCTTTCAAAATGTTTGGATAGCTGCGTAAAAAGGAATTTCTTAAGCAGCATCCACAAGACAGAACATATCGTCTGGCATATTAGCCTAGAAAACAGCACATGCAACAACTCTTCACCATCTCTCAGTACCTGTTACGTACTGCTTCGAAACCCTCATATACCTCGGGGATCTTTATTTTCAGTGGGATGTAAAATTTTTGGTAGCAGTTTTTTCTCTCCTTTTTGGAGGGTGGGGGGAGCACATGGTCCAATGGCATTCACTGAATTACTGGAAAGTCATTTCAGTTTCTCTAAAATCTTCCCACAGAACCGTCAATAAGCAAGCACAAACAGTTATAACAAAAGAAAAAAGACAACCTCGATATAAGGGGTATAAAAGGCTTATCTGCTGTTAAACTTTACCGTCACTAAATCTTTTATAATCCAATGGACAAAACTGCTATGACTTTGTGCTTGTTAAGCCTCTACACACTCTCCCCCTCCCTCCCCCTCCCTCCCTCTCTCTCTGAAGGCAGTAGGTGAGTCGTGCAGCCTGTGTGTATGCCATGCCCTGGGAGCTTACCATAACCGTGCAGTCCTCGGAACCACTGGCAATGACCTGGTCGTTGTGTGGGCACCAATCTATGTCAAGCACTGGTCCTGTGTGGCCACATACTGTAGGGTAGGATTTGTCAATTCGACCAGTCTGAAAATAGAGAGCAAATTCATTATGTAACATCGATGCCACAGAGTGTGTGTTTTCTCAGATCCACTTCTTCTTTATTACCTCCATCCAGAAGTCTCAAAGGCACACATATGACCACCTTCATATCAGTTAACATTAACTAGTAAGAACTGTTAATTTTCATTTCTAAAAATAGTTACTACTGAGGACACGCCACCAAATTAAGAATCCAAATTTCTAGTATCAGTTTATTTAATCAACTGCACTGACATAGCAAGAAAATACAAGTCTTTTACCAAAATATTTTTCTATGATAACCAAATTATAAATTATATGTGTTTCTACTGTAAAAAAACCTAGTACTATTCAAAATGCAACATATAACTTTTAATATAATAGGCTAATATTTCTGAATATACAAATGAACACTTCTGGAAATGAACAGCACTGTGAGCAAGCAACGATAAGGTAATCAAAAGAAATGGTTTAGCCCTGGCTGGGTGGCACAGTTGGTTAGAGTGTCGTCCTGATATGACAAGGTTGTGGGTTCGATCCCTGGTCAGAGCACACATGCGAATCAACCAATAAATGTATAAATAAGTGAAACAACAATTTGATGCTTCTATCTCCCTGTCTCCCTCCCTCCCTAAAATCAATTAATTTTTAAAAAATTGAAAAATGCTTTAGCTATTGCTTAGGGACTATAGGACATACTACATTTTAATGTCTCTCCCTCTTCAATCAACAGAAATGCCAGCTGGACAGTGTAATTAAATTAACATCAACCAAGACCTCATCCATTACACAATTCCACATCTCACTAAGAATACGGTTGTTAATGTTGGTCGTAATTTGCCATCACAATTTGCACATTTTTTTAAAAGATTTCAGATTTCCTCACAACACACATTTGAATCAGAGGAGATGATCTGGCTCAGACCAATTTTGTGTTACTGGGGCAAATGCTGTCACAACGACAGGCGTACAAAAGCTACTCCCGGTTTCACACAGGTTAATGTCGGTCCATGCTGAGGTTCCACATGCTCTAACAGCAGGGGAACAAAAAGGAATTGCTGAGACTCAAACCTGAACCCACTCGCTGTTGCTGTCGCTCTCTTGTTCTGGCAAGACAGCATGACACTGGGGCAGGCGCTTGGCAGTATTTCAAGATCAATGAAGTCTATGGTTCTGCCACTTTAACTCGGCTGTGGAAATCTCCAGGGAATCAGCTCACTAAAATGCAAAGACCATCGGCTCCAGACTCAAACAGATAAGGTTCCAAGGCAGGCTCTCTTACTTATTAAACTGTGTGTGACCTCGGGCAAGTCAGGTAATCTCTCTGAGTTTCAGATCCTCATTTGTAAAATTAGTAATAATCATACTTATTTCCCAGGATTACTGTGAGGATTAAATGAGATAATATTTTTAGGTAAATCTTAACTGAGTATTATAATGACTTGTACAGGGGATATAAAAAATCTAATTCTAGTAGTACCTAAAATATAGTAAATACTCAATAAAAACGACTTATTATTAGCTCTTTGAACAGAGTATATGGATCGACTCCATCCTTAGGAAGAACAAACGTGTTATTTGTGTGCTTCTAGGGACCAGCCAGGGTGCTGAGTGTCGGAGCCACAGAAGTGAACAGGGCAGCCCTATCCTGGCTGAGCATGGATTCCAGGAAGAGGAGAGAAGACATTTAAACCACTAATTACAACAGAACAGCCTGAGACGTGCTCCACCAGAACGGGCACCAGGGTGGCAGGAACACACACAGGAGGGCACTCAACCTGGGGGTCACAGTCTTTGGGGAGGTTTCCTACAGAGAAAGGTTAGTTTTAAGTTTAGGCATGAAGATGAATGGACCTGTCTACAGACCTATGGTCTGAGTTTTCTCACATGCTTCCCCTTTTTTCTCTTGCAAAATTAATTAAGTCCACTTTGAATCTCCTGAATTACATCCCCCATAAAGGAACTCAGAGAAGAAAATGTCAACGAACAAGTACAAAATTATACAGAGGCCGGCTGTTTCCAGAGAAGCCACATGGCTGGTAGACAGACAAGCACCAACAGTCGGGAACCAGACTGTCTGGGCTGAAGCTGGGGCCCTGGCATTTTCTAGTTCAGCTCTGAGGTCCTGGCCAAATTATTTCAGCTCTCAACCTCAGTTCCTCACTTGTAAAATGAGAACAGAGTTCATTCTTCAAGAGCTGATGTGAGGATTAACTGAGACAATCAAGGTCAAGTATTTATTTGGTACTGCCCCAGTACCTGAAGTGCTCAATAAATGTTACCCCAAATTTAATGACTGCCAGAACCCACTCTGCCACAACCCTGTTCGTCTCTTTCCTTAACAGAGAAATTGCTACTAAGTACCTCCTGGGTGGTTTTTACCCAGGAGGTACTTAGTCCCCTTGTAACATCCTCACAAGTACCACGTGAGTGCTTCACCCCTGGAGCCACGACCCCAAGCAATGTTCAGCTGCTCACGGAGCTGCTGGTGGTGGACTCAGGCATCATTTTACAATGACATTATTAATGCATCTCTGTACAATATTATTATTGTTGTTATTTAAACTACAGATAGTTACTCTTTTGAATGTGTGGCATTTCATAATTTAAAACCTTCTGAGACAAGAAGGCCAGCATGAGATCTGATGCACACTAAATAGACATTCCAGAGAGAGGGAACAGAGAATGGAAACTGAAGAGATAATGGCTAAGAATTTTCCAGGTTGGATTAAAGGCATAAGTCTTCAGATTCAAGAGGAGCAAGTCCCAGGCAGAGTAAGTAAAAATAAATCCACATCTATTGGCATGCTTATACAATTCAGAACACTGAAAACAGAGATAAAGTCTCAAGAGTAGTCACAGAGGAAAAACAGATTACCTACAGGGAAAGTAATTTGACTATCTGTGGGCAGAGTCTCAAAAGCAATTACAGAAACAAAGCCCCGGAGGGGATATAAAAATATGCATCGGGTAGTTATACTAGAACAAACAGATTTTAAAATAAAATGCAATATTAAAGATTAATGTTACATTTGAACATCCAAAGAAACAATTCACAAGGAAGCTACAGTCACTCTGAATTTTAAAGTCATCTAACTACATAGCTTCAAAGTTATTAAAGCAAAAACAGACAAAATGTGGACTAAGAAATGTCCAAACCCATAGAAAATTTTTATGAGTTTAATTTAGCCAAACTTATGACATGTCAGGAAGCAAGAGCACAAATGCTCCAGAGAACACCAATTTTGCAGTCTTTATACATTTGGAATTAAGGAGGGAACATAAGGAACATTTTCTTGAACATCAGAGAAAGCCAGGCAGGGAAATCTCTGTGACTAGATTACAGGATAGTTAATAAGATCACATTAATCATACGGTTTATGCTTCTGAGGGCTCTGAAAAAGAGGCATTTAAAATGTGTTAGCACAGATGCACAGAAACAATGACAGGGAATCACATAAGGGGAAAAAATCACACAAGGAATAGACGACTTTTTATAGGGAAGTTACAGACCTAAGGCAGGGCTTCCGATTACCCTGTGAGATTATCTTTGATTAGATTAGCCCCTTTTTTCTCCACAAGAACTATAAGGAGAATTTAAAGAACTTGAGATTTTAATAAATATGTAAGAGATCAAGCAGACAAAATTAATATAAATATAGAAGACCAACAAAAGTTAGTCGATCTAATGATTATATACAACCTTGCAGCCAACATTTAAAATATATATTTGTTTCAAGCAAACATTAAACATTTTTTTAATGATTAAGACACCACAAAACAAGTCTCAAAAAAATACCGAGGAATCAATCAATACCCTGTTGAGAATGTTCTGAGCTTAATGGGATACAATTAAAACCAGAAAAACAGAAACCAAAAATCTCTGACGCATCTAAGAAGTTTTAAATATACTAAATAATTCACACAGAAAAGTATAAAGGCCAACAGACATTAAAACCGATAATAAATATATGACTGTGATATTGTGGTTTATAAGATATTTGGTCTCCATCCACAGTTTCTGGTTCACAGCTCCCCAAACCCTAAAAAACGTCCTAAGTGTTGAGAGTGATAAAGGTATCTTTTGTTATGCCAATGAGGTGACACTTGGATCCCAACCAAGGGTGGGGACTAGTCCTCAGGAAAACCAACCAGGTGATTAAAGGTTAGTCCCGCCCCCTGACCTCTGGGAAGGGGAGAGGGTGCAGATTGAGTTCAACTGCTAATGGCCAATGACTCAGTCCATCACAACTAGGTAATGGAACCTCCATAAAACCGAGGAAGACAGCAGGCTGATCTCTTGAGGTACACTTCCAATGCCATCATGCCAGGCCCCAAGCTCCAAAGGACAGATGCTCCTTTGTTGGGGACCTCGTTCAATGTATCTGGGCTATTAACCCGTATCTTTTACTGTCCTTTGTAATAAATCTGTCATCTAGTGAGTAAAGGAGTTTTCCTGAGTTCTGTGAACCATTCTAGTAAATTAACCAAACCCAAGGAGGGGGGTCTTTGGAGTATCTAACCTGTGAGTCAGAAGCCCAGGTAACAACCCAGGCTGCTGACCAGCATCTGAAGTATGTGTTGGGGGAGGAGGGCACTCTCGTAAGACTGAACCTTTAACCCGGGGAATGTGATGCTATCTCTGGGGAGATAGTATCAGAAGTGCGTTGAATTCAGAAACATCCTGCTGGTGTGGAGAAGCCTACATGCACACACAGACGTTGGATCTGAAAACCCTTTTTAATAACCTATCAAAACTTGTAGGATATAGTTAAAACAGACCTTCAGGGAAATTTTATACCTTAAATGCATGTATGAGAAAGGACTGAAAATTAATGAGTTAAGAATCTAACCCAAGAAGTTAGAAAATAAACGAGTAAACCCAAAGAACATAAAATTATGAGAAGAAACGAGAACAAAAGCAATAAACCGAATCAATAAAATTAGATATGGAAGAAAGAAGGCACAAACACCAGGAATAAAAAAAAGGCACAAACACAAATACA